GCCTCCAAAAGTAAAGAAAAGAACCATGGAAAAACAAGCATCTCCTTTGCAAGAATCTTATCTGAATATGGATGATTTTGACTATGATATCCCTAAAATACCCTTGGTTGAAGACTTACTCAAGGACATCATCAAGAGACAAAATCCTATTGATAAGAAGATCAACTTACTGGCTCATCACTTTGCCCAAGACATAGAGTATATACCTCCCGGGATGTTCACTAATGATGATGAGAATATTGAATGGCAGTCTCACTTATGTGTTTAATTTTCTAAGCAATTAAGTGTGTTTAAATTTTTTTCTTTTTCCCGTTTTCTATATTTTAAATTCCCTTTTTAATTTAATGAAGCACTTTTTTCCTCCTTTAAGTAAATCATGCTTGATCCATGTGAATTGTGTGCTTGCATGTTTACCCTTCTAACATTATTTTCCCACTTTTTTGATTATGCCAAAGGGGAGAAGTATACTCCCAAAGGGAGTAGAGTATACTATTTACTCATATGAGGGGGAGTTTAACCACTCCTAAATTTAAGATGTTGTTTTCTCATTTACCACCTCTTTGAGATATGCATTGTCATAATAAAAAGGGGAGATGATAAGGATCTATGTGCTTACAGATATTGTCAATGTGATATAAGGTGGCAATGTTTGTTTTACAATCAACTGATTAGTTGTATGGTTTGGATGGCGACAACACCTGATATGAAATGATATTCATTGAACTGCTTATATATTGAAGTTATATCAAGCAGTCAAATATGCTCAAGGTATTTCGTCAAGACATCCTCTTAAATATGTTCTTGAAAATCATGTTATCCTTTGGAAGTAAACACTATGGTTAAACAACATTCAACTGAAGATTTCTGCATACCGGTGGTTTCTATTCTGAATTCTCTAATGATGATAATAAAAATGAAATATCTTAAGCCTCATTAAGAAGAATCAATATTCTTGTATGATGCTAAACTAAAATACAATGATGTCAAGACTTTAAGCTTCAGAGTTGTGAAAGGTGGGAAGTGTGAAAACTCATCAGGTTGTGTCCATCAGAGTGACCAATGTCTTGTAATGACACAAGGGTGCTTATGGAAATAATAAGGCAAAATTAGAAACACTAAAAACATTTGATCATCCTCTCATGTTTTATTTAAACCGCCTGAAAATGTTTTAACGTCTAAACAAATGTACTAGGGGAGTGTATGATTGATTAGAAGACTCTTGTTCACTAAATAATCAACCAGACCTAATTACCTAATCGATTAATTTCTATTGGTGGAGTCTAAAATCGATTTGGATAGTATCTTAATGATTGGTAATAGATAAATATCAAAACCTTCCATTTGAGGCTTAAAACATTGATTATTAGGGGTCAATAATCACATGGACTAATCGATTATCGCATTCATATTGCCCATGGATTATTTCCAAATTTAAAACCTAGTATGGCCTATAAATAGAGAGCTTTTCTATCATTTTATTTTATCTTAAAAATGAGCTTTGATCTCACATTATCTTTTAAGAAGATGTTCTTCAACTATCTTAGCTTTGTTTTGATGAAGAAAAAAGCTTATCATTGGAGAATGATCATGGAAGAAAAAGATTGAAATTAATTATAAAGACTACATAAGCTTTGGAATTCAAAAGATTGTACGACTGGTAAAGTTACTCTAATAGAAATATATATATTTATATAATGTTTAGATGCTAAAGAAACTTCATCTCATCTTCTCTAAATATTTCTCAATCATTCCTATTGCATACTCATTCAAATCATAACTTTTCAAAAGGAAAAATTCAAAAAATGCATGTAGTGTTCATATTTGCTCAAGACTTGTATTTAATCACCAAGTGTGTGGTGACTTGTTTTGGAATATAAAAGTGGTGTTCTTTCCAAGTGTTCTGGATAGAAAATGGCGTACTTTCTTCATTATGTGATTATCATCCTAGTGTTTGATTATTTGTGAAGAGATACTTTGAATTGGGTTGATTCAAAGTCCACCATAGGTTTGGTGGTTGTGAAATAAAGGAAGTGGTATGATTTTTATTAAGTTAGAAGATTGTATAATTGTCTTGTCATTAGGATTGTACAAAGATCTAAATCACATGATGTGAGGGGACTAGATGTACCATTGATTGAAAAGGGGAACTAAAATATATCTTTGTGTTCATTTAATTTTCAGCATTTTTTTCTACACTATCATAAATTGATCACTTGTTTCTGGAAAAATAAAAGGAAGCATAACATCTCTAAAATAATGAAAAATATTCTCAAAACCTAATTCAACCCCTCTTCTTAGCCGCACTTTAAACTTACATTATCATACTCTCTCATTTTCTATAAATCTCCGCGTTTCTCTTATATACTTTGCCATAGTGCTTTGATAAATCTTGTGTCCAAGTGATGGACATTGTACTGATTGAGGGCTTAATTGTAATTTACTAAATGTGTATCATCTCTTGAGTAAAATGTTCTTCCATATAAAGTTGTTTAGTTGCAAGTTAAACTAGTAAAAGTTATTATTTGTTTTTAGTGGACTGTCATCATAAGTCTCAATTTTTTTTAGTTTTGCCAAGAATAAAATTCCATTTTTTGGTTCGTGAAGATCAACCAATAATACCTCCACAACAGTTCTTGAGTTCAACCTGGTTCAACACTTTATTGGTTTGAGATTAGCTTATATAAAATCTCACCTTGGTTCTTGAGTTCTGATGGGTGTAAAACCCAATTGGTCCGAGGTTAGACTGTATAAATTTTCATCTCAGTTTGGAGGTTAGCCCGAGTAAATCTCAGGATCGGTTAGGAGGATAGTCATCTTAAAACTCCATCTTGATTGGAAATCAACCCGTGAAAAATCCCTATTTAGTTTGGTGGGTAGCCACTCTAAACTTTGTCTATTTTTTGGTTGAAGATACCTTTTATACATCATTTCTTTGAATAAGGAGGTAAGCACATCCTGCTAAAAACTCTCAAGATTAATGGATACTCTCAAGAATAATTCTTGGAGACATGAGTAGGTCAATTTAGGATGAACCTGTATAAATATATAGTGTTTATCAATATCTCTTATCTCTTTACTTTATTTCCTTTCCATTGGTTTTTCATCTATCTTTTCTTTCACTGCTTGTTCACTTGTTTATTTTACAAAATGTTTTCGAAATCTAATTTTTCAAGCTCTCATTTTTCAAACCTTCACAATTCACTCCTCTATTATGTATGAAGTCACATGTTCATCAACTAATACCATCAAAGCCTAACTCATGTTTAAAGACTAATCATTTTAGGAAAAAAAATTACTTCCAACACTTCTTCTAATTAATAATATGACTTTCCTAAACACCCCTCCAAAGTTTAATGGTGATAGGTTTGACTTATGGATAGCTAGAATTCAAATTTTCATTCGAAGTATTAAACTTGAATTGAGGGATACAATAATAAATGGCTTGTTTATCCCTGCTCACTATATTAACGATGAAGTAGCAGATAAACCCGATTTTCTTTGCACCAAATAAGAAAAGAAAAAGTTCAAATTTGATTTTAAAGCTTTTTTTTTTGTTTATGTCTTTAAGTGAAAATCAATTTCTTTATGTCGTTAGTTGTAAATTTAGCAAGGAAATGTAGGACACACTTGAAATGATCTTTGGAGTCTCTCCAAGTATTGAACAAGAGGGAACGAACACTTGAGGCAAAACACTAGATGAATGTGAATGTTACTTTTATAGAGGGTAATCAACCATTGGATGTTTTAGAAGACATGTTCGAACTTTCGTAATTAACGAATATCAAAGTGTTAAAAATCGAAATAAGAAATGCGATCTGATCCTTAAATTGAGATATACAAATGTTTGTAATTTTCAAGAAAATATAAAAGAGAAGAAAACATCGAGAAACTCAACAAGTTAATTCAACTATTGAAATATGAAGGAATGAACTCAAGAACCCAAGAAGAATACTCAATAACTTTATTAAAGAGAACTTTTGAAGAAGAAGAGAACTCAACTTCGGTAGTCTCTTTCGAAAGAACAATTTCAATGGACAAAAGATCCTACGAAGATTCATCGTCTGAAAATAGAGAAACTTCATAAAAAATATGAAAGAGTTTCATCCAATGAAATCTTTGAAAGTATAAAAGAGGAAGAAGTCTCGTCAAGCAACATCTTCATGGGGTCGTAGAGCCGGATTTTGTAGTTGACTTTTCTGAAGAGTGAATGGATGGGTTTTATTTGTGTGGTCCTGGGTTATATGTTTTCCTTCCTTTCTTTTTTCTAACATTTATTTAGATGGTTTTTGTTCTAAGAGAATTGTTGTTGTTTTTTAATCAATTAATTTCAATCCAAATAGTGAATCGATTAATCTGATTTCATAGTTCAAAAGGACGACTCGCAGCTAAATCACCTATTATAAGAGAGGTTAGTTACATCACCTATCAATAGTTTATAAAAAAATATTCATTTTCTAATATATGAACTTAAAAAGAGAGAACGTTAAATAAAAAATCTATTATGGAAAATGTATTGATTACCTTGTTTGACATTTGTTTATTATCTATTTTTATTCAATTTAAGAGCTAAAACTAAATAGATATCAAATTCTTAATATTGTAGCATGTTACATATCGTTTAAATGAAGAACTATTTGTTTTTGAGTATGATTGTAATTTTCCTATAAGAAAATAGAATTATATGATTTTGATTAAAGAAATCGGCATACATCTTATCATTTGCTAGTTGTCAAAATAAAATATATTACCCTGAAACCAACTATGTCCTAGTGTAACCCTTCAATGGCTCCATGGAAGCTGATGACCCATCAACATTGCAAATAATTAGCTAAATCTTATATTTATTTTTTTATGTTCTATAATATATAATATTATTATTTTATTGTTCAATATATTTGATTTAATCAAACTGTTTTCATTCTTCTTATATTTATTTTGTCCCATGAGCTTTATTTAAATTTGCTATATTCCTATTTCTTAAGAAAATATCAGTTTCAGAAATGATGAAAGCCAAGCCTTTTATTTTCTTATGCTTAAGTGCACTGCTTATCATCTCTAGTTTGGCAATTGAGCCTTCTGAATACGATCCACTATTTCCTAACCATGAAGAAGAGGGAAGCAGTGGACATGATTGTACTTGTGGAAAAGCAGGTGGCGGTGGAAAAGGGGGTGGTAAAGGAAAAGGAGGTGGTAAGGGAAGAGGTGGTGGTGGAGGTGGAAAAGGAGGATGTGGTGAACATGCCGTTATTGAAGGCGGTGGTGAAAGCGTCGTACCGATTCCCGACAGTAGAAAGTCGAGTCATGGTTGGGGAAGTAAATCAGACATGCAGTAAATCTCCATGGAAACCTAGACGTCTGTTATACATGTATGATGTATCTACGTTGAGATGATAGAATAAGTTTTAAGCAATGTAAAATAAAGAGTGAACCATGTAGTTATAGAACGACTCAATATTAATAAGATTCATGTTATATACACCACCACCAAAAACATATATCGATGGTACATTGGTCAGGATTTTAAAAAATTGCAGTCGCGTAAATGTTTTTATGATATAGGTGCTATGATACTGATCACCGTTGTTATAATGTGAATTAATTACGATTTATATTTTAATATAAATAACAGTGATAACAATATTGATATCGTTATTTGTTAATACCGTTTTGTTTTGTCGTAGTGGTGAACCATTTTCGCAAACTCTAATGTTGTTGGTGACATTGGAATCAAAGAGTTTAATGGACAATACTTTGTTAGGGTAAAGAAATTTTAGACGGTTGTCCAATAAAAAAACCATCAATCTACCAAATCGTTTAAAATATTAATTTCATTAGTTAGAATTCACGTCCTTCATTGGATAACGTATAAAAATTTTACTCTGTGATTGTATCTCTTATTTTCTCGGAATCATATCACAAGTTGAATACAGTTTTACACGTAATTACTCTATTTATGACCGGACAAAGATATGAAGAATTCTGGTAAGACTTCTAGCAGAAAATTGCTTTCCTCTTGACCATGATTCTACAATCTTTTTCTTCCCTAATTTCCCTTAAGGATTAAAAGAATCGACTTAGAGAAAAAAAATTGAGTTTCTTCTTGTTTAGGCTTTTTTTTTAAAACTAAAAGAGATAAGACTATGAAGGACATATATTTATAGGCGTAGACGTGTCGCGGTGTTTGACACGTGTCAATGTCCGAAACTCGTATGATATTCATATAACACGTGTTGAAAAAGTCAGACAAGTGTCACCAAAAAAATTCTTTATTTTATATGTCTCGACACTTGTTGAATCGGTGTCCGACACCCATGTGACAACCATATGACATTCATATGACATCCATGCAACATATATCACACTAATTTTGACAAGTTTTTCAAAAAGAATTTGTTTTTATTTTTGCTTCATCACATCTTATACATTTTTTGGACAAATTTCTTTAACATCTAAAATGGTTAAACATGTTTTGAAACAATGATATCAAAAGAACTAAAAATGTTAATTTTGATTAAAATATTTTTAATTCTTTTAATGATAGACGGATAAATGAAACTCAAATATTATCATATACATAACGGTGTTGATGCCCTATATTTTTACATTATTGAAATCGAAGTGTCTGTGTCCGTGTCGTGTCGCGGTGTCCGTGCCAGAGTTTTAGCTTCTTAGGATAAGAGGATGATTTTTTTTACTTCTTAAGGACTTCAATCAAACACTGGTTGTATGTAGTAATGGTTATTGAAAGTTTAGAATAATGCAAATACAATATGGAAGCATCGAGAAGCATTACGTCGAAACAACTTATTTGAGAAACACTTATGGAAAGTAAAAATCTGGAATTTTCACAGAAGAAATTGATTATCAGAAAATGGATAATCGATTACCACAGTTGAGATTTTTCTGGATTTGCAATTTTGAGTTCAGGAAATCGATTCCCTTATTTTGGGAAATCGATTTCCAACGCGATTTTTGTGATGTTTTGCTGTTTCATGGGCCAGTTAAGGTTCCAATTTGTTTTTCTTTGTATCTTATATATACTCCTTCATGTAATGTGTTTTTTAAAAACACAAGAAGGAGTATATATAAGATACAAAGAAGGGGGGTTTCAGGGATTGTTTCCTTCTGAGAATTTTGCAATTGGTTTTCTAATTTTGAAATTTTATCTTTTAACTCAGAATTCTTCAATTTGAGACTCTCAGTCTTATTAGAGTCAGAAGCAAGATTCTTTTTCAGGTTTCTGAATTTGACTCTGATCTGCTGATATCTTTCCAGAATTTCATTAAGGCTTTCAGCTAGTTCAACCTTAGTAAAGTTTATAGTAAAGTCAGGGAATACCTCTTATGTATCTGATTCAGATTCTGACTCAGAAGCTTCACTGTCTTCTGTTATGTTTGCCATGAGAACTATGTTTTCTCTTTCATCATCTGATTCTGAGTCAGCTTCAGATGTGTCAGAATCATCCCATGTAGCCATGAGACTTTTCTTCTTTTCCTTGCCAAACTTCTTTTTGGGCTTCTCCTTCTGAAGCTTTGGGAAATCACTTTTGTAGTGCCCTTGCTCGTTACATTCATAGCAGATGATGTCTTTGTTGTTTGGCTTTCTGTTTCCTGAAGAACATTCAAATCTTTTGTGTCCAGAGGAGGATTCTGACCTTCTGTATCTGGAGAAAGATTCATTCTGATTTTCTGATCTTCTGGGATTCCTGAACTTCCTTTGCCTCTGCTTCCACAATTGGTTCACCCTTTTGGAGAGGAGAGACAGTTCATCTTCTTCTGATGAGGACCCATCAGAGGTTTCTTCCACAGCCTGCAAAACTTTGGAGTCAGATTTTCTGTTAGATTTTAAAGCTAATGGCTTACCTTGCTTTTGAGGTTCATCTGCTTCTAGCTCTATCTCGTGACTTCTGAGGGAGCTGACAAGTTCCTCCAGAGAGATTTTGTTGAGATCCTTGGCTAGCTTAAGCGCTGTGACCATTGGCCTCCATTGTTTTGGCAAGCTTCTGATGATCTTCTTAACGTGATCAGCAATGGAATACCTTTTGTCAAGAACTTTTAGACCAGCAACAAGAATTTGAAATCTTGAAAACATAGTTTCTATTGATTCACTCTCTTCCATCTTGAATGCCTCATACTTCTGAATGAGTGCAAGGGCTTTGGTTTATTTGACTTGAATGTTTCCTTCATGCGTCATTCTCAGAGAGTCAAACATATTTTTTGCAGTGTCTCTGTTTGATATCTTCTCATACTCTGAATAAGAGATGGCGCTGAGAAGAATTGTTCTGGCCTTGTGATGATTTCTGAACTCACGCTTTTGCTGATCAGACATCGTTTTCCTGTCAATCTTTTGACCACTTCCATCCACTGGGTGCGTGTATCCATCAGTCACCATGTCCCAGAGATCAGCATCATGGGCCAGAAAGAAACTCTCAATTCTGTCTTTCCAGTAGTCAAAGTTCTCTCCATCAAAGACTGGAGGTTTGCCACTAAATCTGTCTCTTTCTTCATTGTTGTCATTGCTGATGTTTTGACTTGGTCCTGCCATTGTGTTTTTCTGACGCTGGATCTTGTACTGACACAGTTAAGTGTTATAAGCTCAGAACCAGGCGCTCTGATACCAATTGAAGATGTGAAAAACACAAGAAGGGGGGTTGAATTATAAAACTTAAAACAAATGCTTAGACGACACAATATTTTTATCCTGGTTCGTTTGATCTCAAACTACTCCAGTCCACCCGTCGAGGTGATTTCGCCTCTCTCCAACGAGGTCTTAATCCACTATATTCAAGGGATTACAACAGCTACTTTAACAACTGTTAAAGCCTTCTTGAGTATAACCACAAACCGGTTTATCTCAAGGAAATCTTTTACAAATAATTCGAACAATGATGTGTTAACGTTTTCTAATAAAACAATATATCACAACTGTGATAATTACATAATTTAAGCTTGGAATAAACTGAATTTGCTAAAGCGTTTGAGTAAGCGTGGTTTTGAAGGCTTGGCAAATTATGTGAGTGCATGCGTGCGTCTTTTCTCAAGCAGACTTGTTTATATAGCCAAGGCAAAGATACGTTGTCCATAAAGCACTTTTACTGATAATAACGCACTTTCCTTTTGAAGAAGATCTTGTCTGAATAAAGCCGTTAGCAATTAATTCTGTCTTGAATACTTAATAACGCTTCAGAGTCTTCTTTGCTTATGGTAACGCTTCAGAGTGTTCTTTGCTTTAACTTATGATAACGCTACAGAGTGCTGATGACTTAGTAAAGATCTTTGATCAGAGTCAGAGTGTATATGTTTATGCGCAGATTCTGGTCATCAAGCTTCAGCGTATGATCTGGTAGCTTCAGCGTGTAGCACATGTTACTGATCTTCTGATGCTTCTGATGCTGATGCTGATTCCATTAGAACTTCTGTATATACAAAACTTAATTTTAAGAAGCATATTTGTCTTATATATAAATCTTACAATTTATTTATTCTTTGTATTTTGTTATCATCAAAACTCTAATTAAGGGTTGTAGAATCAAACTATGTTCTAACAATCTCCCCCTTTTTGATGATGAAAAAAACCAGATTTTTTCAATTAAAAATAAAGAATAAAAAGTATAGAATTAAGAAGAGAAACTCCCCCTGAGTTGTTTACTTCCCTTTAATTCCATGAGTCTTTGAGCATCAGAAATTTATTGTATCTTTCATCAGAGTTTTGTACCTGTAAGCTTTTCAGAAGAGAGAAATTTAAATGGATCAGAATGTCTGAGACTTATGTCTCAAACATTAGTCTCAGACATATGTCTGAGACTAATTATATCATTCTTTCTCCCCCTTTTTGTCAGTTATCAAAAAGGGGGAGAAAGAATGATATAATTAGTCTCAGAAAAATATATCTGAAAAATGATATATCTGAAAAATATCATTCTTTCTCTCCCTTTTTGTCAGTTATCAAAAAGAACAAATAATCAGAGTCAAAATGCGTTTATATTGAAACCAGAAGCAATGATAAGTTCAGAACAATGTAAGAATATTACAGATAAACATGTTATAAAAACAAGGAAATTCTAAGAGGGAGGAGGGAGACGTGTGAACAAAGCTTACAACATGCTCTTGATCTGGGTGTTGGTTTCCTATTGTTGGGTTAACATGCTCGTGATTGCATCAATTTTGTCGTCCTGTTTATCCATTCTTTCCTTCATCAAAATATCAGATCTTTTCAGGTCTTCTAGAGTCTGCCTATCAAAGGAGGAAGCTTGAGAATCTTTAGTAACAGGATGCTTCTCAGAGCTTTCTGCAATATCCTCTTTTTGACCCAGTGCTTCAGCAGGAATCATCTG